GTCTCTGCCTCTGTTTCCATCAATTGCTGGGTGAAGCCTCTCTGATGACAACTGGACTAAACACCAATCGATGAGTATAGCGGAATATCATTAGGAATCATTTAGCTGACTTTTTTTCCCCAATTGTGTTTGCTTCTATTCTAGATCTCTGGGCTATGTAATATCTGGGTCGTGGCCCTCGAGGTCCTGTCAGAGGTGGACTCCCTTTCATGGTAAGTGTCTCAAGCTGGACCAGTCGTTCTTTGGTCTCTCCCACAATTTATTTGTGACTTTTATCCATGTACATCTTGAAGGGAGGACAAATTGTAGGTCTAAGGTTTTGTAGACGGGTTGATAACCAAGTGCCTCCACTCAAAGTCTTGCCTGGTTACAGAAGATGACCAGTTAAGACACAGTTTGCCCCATTGCTAGGATTCTTATCTAGGGTCACCCCCATAGATTCTTGGGAGTTTCTATTGTACTAGGTTTCTAGCTCATCTCAGAGATGCCCCTGATTCCAGTTGTCTTTCCCAGTATTCTCTCCCTCCATCCTCCCTCTACCTGATTTCTCCTGTCCCCAATCTCCATCCAGAGGTCTCTCCTTGTCCACCGTCAATGAGCTATTCTATTTCATCTTAACAGTGAAATTCATGCATCCCCCTTGAGCCCTCCTTGTTACTGATCTTCTCAGAGTCTGTGGATTGTAGTATGGTTAATCTTTATTTAATCGCTATCTTAGTTGGGGTTTCTATTACCATGAAGAGACACTATGACCACAACAACTCTTATAAAGAAAACATTTCATTGGGGTGGCTCACTTACAGTTTCAGAGGTTCAGTCCATTATCATCAGGGCAGGGAGCATGTCAGTGTGCAGGCAGACATGGTGCTGTCTACGTCTTAATCAGAAGGCAACAGAAAGTGGACTGACTCACGGGCATGGCTTGAGCATACATGAGACCTCAAAGCCTTCCTCCACAATAGCACTTTCCCTAACAAGACCACAACTACTCCAACAAGGCCACACCTCCTAATAGTGTCACTTCCTATGATATTATGATGGTCAATTACATTCAAACTACCACAATAACTAATATCTAATTATAAATGAGTACATATCACATTTGTCTGGGTCTGGGCTACCTCACTCAGGGTAATCTTTTGCAGTTCCATCCATTTGCGAGCAAATTTCATTTGTTCCACAAGAGATATTCATGAGCAAATTCATTTTAAAAAGTAAACTTACAATCTGCACACGGTGATTCAAACCTGAAATCCAGAATATGGGAGGCTGAAACAAGGGGATTGCTGCGAATCTGAAGCCAGTCTGGACTGCAAAATAAAGCCTCGTCCCAAAAAAATAAATAAATAAATAAATAAAAAGAAGAAAATAAAGTTATGCAAAATTATACTTTTTCACACCTGAAATATAACAATAAATTTTGAATTAATGTAGTTTTGTTATAAAATAGTTCAGATAATACCAAGATTAATAAAATGAAGAACCTGGACCCATCACTTGATCTAAGAAATGAGAGTTCCCCAGTACTTGTCTTAGTTAGGGTTACTATTGCTAAGAAGAGATACCATAACCACGGCAACTCTTATAAGGAAAACTTTTAAACTGAGATGTCTCACTTACAGTTCCAGAGGTCCAGTCCATTATCATGATGGGGAGCAGGGCAGCGTGCACAGGCAGACATGGTGATGGACCTGAGGATGCTACATCTTGCAGGTAAGAGGAAGTCAGCTGACTTACTGGTGGTATTCTGAGCATAGGAAACCTCAAGGCCCACCCCCACAGTGACATACTTCCTCCAACAAGGCCATATCTATTCCAACAAAGTCACATTTCCTACTAGTGCCACTACCTGTGAAATTATGGGGGCCAATTACATTGGAACTGCTACAGAACTCCTCCCTATCATACTCTGCCTCCGCAGGAAAATGCTACCCTGAGTTTTGCATTATTCTCATGCATTTTCTACTTTTATAATCTATTTATTTAAAATATCATAGTTTTGCTTGCTTTTAATAATTAAGTGGAATTATAGTGTAAATACTTCTGCAACTTCCCTTTCTATTTAATATTATAGCTGTGAGGAGATATCAGGGCATGTGGAATTCTGGCTATGCCGACCTAACGGGTTTTACTGAAGACAGATAGGGCGGTTAATCTTCACTGTCAACCTGACTAGATTTGAAATCACTTAGGAGACACATGTTTAGGTGCGTCTGTCAGGGCATTTCCTGAGAAGTTTAGCTGAAAGGGGAAGACTCGGCCTGACTGTGGACTGCAGTATCCCATAGACTGGAGTCCCAGAGTGAAACAAGGGGAAAAGTAAACTGAGCCCCAGCTTTCAACTCTCGGCTTCCCGACTAGACAAATCCATTTCCAGCCACCACACCTTCCAGGCCTTGAAGGATTGTAGCCTCAAACTGGGAGCCAAAAGAACCACTACACTTCAGCTGCTTGTGTAGGGTACTTGGCCACAGCAATGAGAAAGGGATCTTATATATACACACCAATCAAGATGATCAGACATCACCTGGAGGGTGGTAAAAGATGAAAAGCCAACTGAATATGGATAACTAGATTATCAAAATGGTAGTTGTTGCTAAATGGATTTAGCAGGGATCTTTGATAAAATGGGATTTTGTAAGGAAATACACAGATGAACATAAAGGAGACTCAAAAGCCTGACTGAAGTTTGTTCAAGCAATGTATCTTTAGCAGATGCTCAGGCCCAGCAATACTTTAAAAAAACAAAAAAAGAAAGAAATCTATCTTTTTTTCATTTTACATACCAATCCCAGTTCCCACTCCGTCCCCTCCTCCCATTCTCTCCACCTTCCCCCACCCCCATCCACTCCTCAGAGAGGGTAAGGCACATTGTTTCAAGAAAAGACCAAGGCCCTCCCTGCTACATCTAGACTGAGCAAGGCATCCATCCAAAAAGAATGGATTCTAAAAAGCCAGTACAAGCAGCAGAGACGAACCCTGGTGCCACTGCCAGTGGCTCCTCAGTCTGCCCCAGCCACGCAACTGTCACCCACATTCAGAGGACTAGCTAGGACCTATACTTGTTCCTTCCCCATCCGTCTGGAGTTGCTGAGCTTCCATTAGCTCAGGTAGACTGTTTCAGTGGGTGTCCCCATCATGGTCTTGGCCTCTTTGCTCATATTCTCACTCCTCCCACTCTAACTGTGTTTTGGGAGCTCAGCCCAGTCCAGCAATACAAGCAATACATTTTGTCTCTTAAGATTCCCTTTAGTTTTGTTTTTGTTTTTGTTTTTGTTTTTTTTTTTTTTTTTTTTGGTTTTTCGGTTTTTCGAGACAGGGTTTCTCTGTGGCTTTGGAGCCTGTCCTGGAACTAGCTCTGTAGACCAGGTTGGTCTCGAACTCACAGAGATCCGCCTGCCTCTGCCTCCCGAGTGCTGGGATTAAAGGCGTACGCCACCACTGCCCGGCTTCCCTTTAGTTTTTTTGTTGTTGTTTTTGTTCTTTGGTTTTGGGGAGCTTTTGGCGGGGTTGGCTTTTTGAGACAGGGTTTCTCTGTAGCTTTGGAGCTTGTCCTGGAGCTCACCCTTGTAGACCAGGTTGACATCGAACTCACAGAGATCCACCTGTCTCTGCTTCCTGAGTGCTAGGATTAAAGGCGTGCACAACACCACCCAGCAAGTTTTTGTTGATGTTGTTGTTGTTTGAGACAGGGTTTCTTCCCTTTAGTTTTCTAAAGAAGTTGGCAATGCTGTTGAAGTGGTGAGGTGTTGATCTGACTTATTGAATAACTCTGCACTCGTAGTCTTTCTTAGCACATATTACACACAACACAGTTGTCTTGTCACATGTTATTCCATGATCATTCAGCTTTCAATGTGTAGGTGGAGAAAAAAAAAAACTCAAATCAGGAAACATATTAGGAAAGTGTTCCGGGAGTTTAGACAGAATAACTGGAATGAGGGTTGTAGTTATCAGAGACCAAAATAAGTCTGAGAAATTCTTAGTAAGTAAAATCAACTACATTTCAGGCAAGCAGAGATCTAGAGGCGCTGGAGTGATGGTTTAGTGGTTAAGAATACGTGATAGTCCTCCAGAGCACCTGGGCTGGAGAGCCAGCAACCATACAGGACCTCACGACTGGTTGTACTCTAGTTCTGGGGAATCCCCTAACTTTTTTTGGCCTCGAAGGGCACCAGGCACCCACGTGGTACCGGGACACACAAGCAGGCAAAACTACCAAACACATACTTTTCTTCTTGAAATGAGAGATCTAGAGTGGTTTGTATGGAAGTCAGGAACTCGAAGAAGAGATCTGAATTGCATACGTTTGGGGGTTCTATGAAGAATTAGTGACTGAACTCATATATCACAACACAGATGGTAATGGATAGGGGCTATGTGTTGTGGGCAGCCAGGATGACGGTGGACGGAAACCAGAGACCTGAGATGGTTCCGTGGGCAGACTGCTGTGCAGGCATCAGGAGTACCTGAATTCTGTTCGCCAACCACCTTTAATGAAAAGCTGGATATATAAAAGTCAGTTGTAACCAGCGCCATTAATCTCAGGGAACACAGCAGGAGCCAGTCTAGGCAATTGTGAGCTCCAGGTTCACTGAGACCTTGTCTCAAAAATAAAGGTGGAGGGTGATAGAGGACTATTTCCTCACATGTATTCTCTAGCACACACAAACCCAAAGACGGAAAAGAGAGGGGCTAGCGAGCGAAAAGAGGGTCCTAGGATCCAACTAGCAACATTTATCTATAGTTTGAGAATTTAAAGGAAGCGGAGCAATCAACAGACGCCAAAATTCGTTCTTAAAGTCTTTGAAGACAGAAGCACCCAGCACTTAGAGGTCTGGATATGTGTCGGTTTCTTTAGGAGCGGGTATTTCTGCGCGTCCTCCTCCCCTGTCTTTTGCAGCATCAACCTCTCTTCCCACGGAAATTTGCGGTCTTTCGATATTGCTATATATAACTCCTTCCGGGTCGGGGGAAGCGGGGTGGCGCACACCTAGTCCTGCAATTCGCGTGAGCCGAGGCGCTTAGTCGCGTCCGGTTTTAAATCTCGCGCAGGCGTGTTGGTTTCCCCGTCGCTATGCGGGTGCTCGTGGGTGAGGGAGGGCTGGGAGAGTCGCGGGGGGCTTAGGCTGAGCCCGAGAGCTGGGAGACCAGCCCCACCGGGCGCCGTCTTCTAAGCAAGCGACCTAGCCTTGGCTTCCCAGCCCCAAAAGCCGAATCCCTGAAACCCCGTGTCCTGTGTCACCTCTGCATTGTGGGGCGGGAGCGGGGGTGGGGGGGAGTGGAGGAAAGGCCTGGTGTCCTAGGGGACGGCACCAAAAAGGGCAGCCCGGCCTGCCTCCTGCCTCCTCCCGGAGTATAAACAGTTTGTGCCCTCCCATCAGGTGGCGGGACGGGATTCATCGGGACAGCCCTAACCCAGCTGCTTAAAGCCAGGGGCCACAAAGTTACGTTGGTCTCCCGCCAGCCTGGGCCGGGTCGAATCACGTGGGTACGTCCAGCCTCAGCAAGGTGGGTGGGAGGGCAGTTTGCGCGCCGCCGGGAACTGTACCAGCAGGTCCTGTGCTTTCTCCAACAGAGTGAGCTCATTAGGTCGGGGCTGCCCCTCTGCGATGTTGTCATCAACCTGGCCGGAGAGAACATCCTCAACCCTCTGCGAAGGTCAGCTGGGCCATAAAGCAGTGTCACTAGCACAGAGGCAGAAGGTCGACTCCCCTGAGCTATGCGTGGCAGACATACACTGTGCAAAGTGTGTCTTAACGTTGGAGCCGGTTCTATATCGGTGTCTAAGAAAGCCCATTGTTGCGGCTAAAGAGACGTAGTCCAAGCCTGTTATGGAGGGGGGGAACAGTCTTGGCTGTCTTAGCCACCCTGAGTTATGCATTAAGATAGATAAAGGACAAGTGGCTGGCCGGGAGAATAGGCAGGTGTATAGATGAGCAGTGAGGATATGGGTTGGATGTGTGTCGGTACTTCTGACCTTTTCATCTTCTCTGCAGATGGAACGAGGCCTTCCAAAAAGAGGTTCTTACCAGCCGCCTGGATACCACCCACTTGCTAGCTAACGCCATCACCAACGCCACACACCCACCGCAGGCTTGGATACTAGTCACAGGTGTAGGTACGTCCCAAAATCACCAACCTCTTACATTAACAGGAAGAACAGAGAAGGCAGCTCAGGCCCTTGGGGCTAGTTAGACCCCACTGAAGCACCCTAGAGGACTATCCTTTCCAGTGTAGCTTCTAGACCCTCCAGCCACGGCAGGTTTCTCCTAACCTCTGGATTTTCACTACGTGGTATTCATGGGTGTGAACTGAGTGGTGAGTGTACTTGGCTAGAGACTCAAAGCTAGGAGCCCTTGGTGGAAGCCCTCAGAGAATGGGATGGATGGTACCAGTCCTAGTGCTGAGGAAGTCGACCTACTGCCAAATACCTTGCTTTTTGGTCCACAGTTCTTTATAAACAAGTCCCCTATTAGTGTGTTACCCTTGAGACAAAATAACTGCAAACAATTAAAATGAAATACTCTACTATTTTATACATTTAATCCTTGCAAAACCTTATGAGGTAGGTACAGTTACTCCCATATTGAAGATGCAAATTGTTCATACAGAGAGTAACTTGCCAGAAAGTCACAGATGTCAGGAATGGCGGAGCTCAAGCAGCCGGGCACCCAGGTTTCTGTTCCTAAGCACTACACACTAGCAGCCTCTGGGTATAGCCCTGTAGCCAAAGGCTAGACTGGCAGGCAGGATCACAGGAAGCAGCTCAAGGGGAAAACAGTCATGGTTCTTTCTTCTCCTGTGGAGATCCAACGGATCAAAGAGAGGGAGCCTTTAATGCAGAAGGCCCAGCAGGATAGGGCCAGCCAGAGCAATGAGTGCTTTCCCACGACAGCTTACTACCAGCCAAGCCTGACTGAGGAGTATGATGAAGACAGTCCAGGAGGAGATTTTGACTTTTTCTCCAACTTGGTAACCAAATGGGAAGCAGCAGCCAGGCTGCCTGGGGAGTCTACACGCCAGGTCGTGGTACGTTCAGGTGAGGACCAAGGGCCTGGGAATCTGGCAAAGTGGACGATTTCTGGGCCGAGGTGGGCTGAGATTACAGTGAGAGAACACCATCAGTCTAGCTAACCTACAGAGGAAAAGTCCCAAGAACATCTGACCTGTCCAAACCCACATGGGAAGAAAGTGAGGAAGGGAAAAGACAAGTTAGAGTAATACAGATTTTCAAGGCTAAGCAACCTTCCTGTACCACCCCTCTTGCCTGCTTTAGGGGTTGTGCTGGGCCGCGGGGGTGGTGCCATCAGCCACATGCTCCTGCCCTTCCGCCTGGGCCTAGGAGGCCCCATTGGTTCAGGTCACCAGTTCTTCCCCTGGATACACATCGGTGATCTGGCAGGAATTCTGACTCATGCCCTTGAAGCAGACCATGTCCAAGGAGTCCTGAACGGAGTGGCTCCAGCATCTACCACAACCAATGCTGAGTTTGCCCAGGCCTTGGGTGCTGCCCTGGGCCGCCCAGCCTTCATACCTGTGCCCAGCACGGTGGTACAAGCAGTCTTCGGACGAGAGCGTGCCACCATGCTGCTGGAAGGCCAGAAAGTGGTCCCACGGCGGACACTGGCTACTGGCTACCAGTATTCCTTCCCAGAGTTAGGGGCTGCCTTGAAAGATGTCGTAGCCTAAGTAGACAAGGACCCCCCCAAGGCAGGAGCTGAGGCCTGTTGTTCCTCAACTAAGAATTGGCTCAGGTGATGCCTGTATTTGAGATGAGAAGCCATCTGGGTCTTAGAACCTCTCCCCGTCACTTTCTTCCCGTGTTGTGTTCGTCCATCTGAGAACATCAGTCAAGGTTGTAATCCCATCCTAACCTCAACCTCTTCAACTTCTTGTCATTTCTGTGTCGCACTGTCGCCCCAGTTCTCCTATATACTGTGTAGAGAAAGTTCAACAGTTATGGCAATAAATTCTATAACTAGCTTCAGCTGTCTCTTTGGCTTAGATTCTCCTAGAATTTATCTTAAGGTCTATTACCTAGATGGCTCTTCTTCCTAAATGAGGTTCTGAATGTTGTAATACTCAGTCTCTCTCCTCACCCTTCCCTTTCTTGGTCTCTTCCCAAATGAGCTGGTGAGACATGAGGTATGAGAGATTAAAGACAGTACACATAAGGACCTATTTCCAGTGAGTTCTGGTGCTGCCCTAGCCACCTGTTCAGAGGATGCCAGCAAAAATGGGGAAAAAAAAGAAAGGCCTGTAGGTTAGCCTCAGTATTTCACCCAAATGGCAGGGAATTCATCTAGCAAGCACATGCAGATCCCACGTCATACTGCGGCAACACGAAGCCAGTGTCCCTCTGTAAGCTAGGATCTGTCTCTCATCTGCTTGGGAACACTTCAGTCTCCTTCCAGGGCCCTCAGCATAAAAAGGAAACTAATTCTGGCCTTCTGTACACCTACCATCACGGCAAGCAAAAAGAGCAAGAAACCAATCACAAACTTAAAAAGCTTTTCTACCAGCAACCAGTTCAGACCATTCTCTTTGTTTCCTGGGCACTAAAAGGAGTCACTGTCATTTCCCTGATCACCTTGCCTCCAATACAGCTGTCCCAGCCTGAGTCAATCTAGTGTAGAGATGAAAATGGCCCAACGAAACAGACAGACACAGACCTAGGGACCCTCTCCTCGATCACCCACAGTCACCTCTCTGTGTCACTAGTAAGTCAGCCAGAAAAGAAGCTAATTCAGGGACTTGCTACAACTCTCAAACAGAACTGAACCTAGGGAACCTGCCTTACCTCTTAATCTGAGAAGTTGACTAGCTCTGAGTTATTTCTGGGGAAGGTAAAAATAACAGAAGCTTGTTAGGCTACACTAGAGAAAACAAACTACTGGCAAACTAAACATCCAGGTCAGGAGTGTGCCTCCTTGCAGACAGTAAATCCCTGGCACAGAAATCAAGCAGATAGCAAACAATGACTTGTGGGAATTAGGATGTAAACACTTGGCCATGATAGGTCAGTGGGGGTCATCTGTGACTAACCAGGTGTCTTCCACTCCTAGACAATAGTTTCTTAACTATACACAGAAAGCAGTACTGTGTCTTACCAAATGCAACCCACGTCTTCCATAAAGGAAATAATAAATCCCACTAACATTGTCACTGCAAAGCATGGCTTCATGAATTTGGTGAACACATTCAACACCAAAGATTTAACCGGGGCCTTTCTGACACATTTGTGAATCTGTAAACACATTTGAATGCAGCTGACCAGCTGCCTCTTCTGGGGACCCTGAGAGTTTTTAGGGAATGCAGCAATCAACCCTAACAACTATTTTGTTAATCTGTGTTTGGAAGGTTGCTGGGAAAGGGTGCAGCCATGACAGGCGTGTTCTACTGAAAACCCCGAGTTAAAACTGAGGGTGTGGACTGTGGACATCTCTGAACGTGAAGTTTTGGTTAGGGAGCCTATGCAGACACAGGCAGACACACCTGAGACATGATCCAAGATCACTTCCTCACAGGAGCCTTCCTCTGTGTACCCAGTTCTCCTCTCAAAGGTTATTTTTTATGCCTGTTGTACAGACACAAATAAAAGTCAAGCGACTCTGCCAAGGTCGCAGGCAGGCACAACCCAGTCTGGGAGCCTTCTGGGACTCTGCTGTCCCACTGCAACAGCCCGCATAGCACTGTGGCCCTGCAGACCCCCAGACAGCTCAGCCTACACTAGCCATTCAGAAGAGCAGCCTAAGGATGCTTTCTTCCTCAGCTTAGCCTTTTGCTGCCTCCAGCTTACCCTAGCCTCCAACTCAGCTTAACCTGGCCAACAGTCTCAGCCTTCAGGAGGAGCCTCTACAGCCTGCAAAGACCAGGATGAGTGCTTAAATCTGATCAAAGGCTCCTTAGAGCTGGCTGCAGTCCTGACTAAGGTCGAGCCACCTTATGGACCCCAGGCAAGAGTGTTCCCACACTCAAATCTCTTCTCCGGTGCTTCCTCCAGCCAAAGCACCATCTTAGAGGGAGTCGGGCACAGTCTGAGCAGCAGAGGACTGTAAGGAAGGGTCTGGGCTGGGGTTGCTAAGTCTGATAGGGCAGCAGCTATGCAGGCAAGTAAGGCTCAAAAGTTGAGACTCAGCAGGGCCTCAGAGAGTTGATTAATATCCCGGCAGTATGGTTCCCGCTGCAGGATGAAGTCCACCTTATGGTCCTGACCCCAAAACACCTCCAGCAGCTGGCGCCGGAGCCGCTCTGTCTCCCTGGTCTTCCGAATGCCACCTTTTTCCTCTTCCTTCCCTTGCTTCGCCTGCTGCTGATTCCCATGGTCTTTGAGGCTTCTGGAGGGTTGCTGAGCCTTAGAAGAGCCCTGTTTCCTGGAGAAAAGCAGAATAAGAAGTGATAAGCACTCGGCAGAAAAGTTGGGCCTCCAGGAGCCTCAGGCAAACTGACAATTCCCAGCTTTGGAGACGAATTCGTGAAGTTCCCTATGCTGGCCACTGAGTGGCAGTATCCCACTAGGAATGCAATGTCCTGTTTAATAACTTGCTTATGAGCCAAAAGAGGGTGTGGGGGTGCAATTGGCTATCATTACATGCAATCATCTCCCAAATCCTTCCATCAAACACACAGACCAAAAGGAAAAGAAATAAACATTTCCCTTCTTAGTACGAAGTCTGTATCAGGAGTCCCTGGGGGGACTTTAAAGGCCAGTCCCACAAACTCGAGACTACTGCAGTATAAAGCTGGCCCAAACTGTGACACTCCCATGCAAGCCTCCAGTCCTTCAGAGAGGAGATCAACAGGCTCCGGGCAGAAGCAAGGGCATTACCTGACTGTCTTCTTCAGGAACTCATCCAGGGTGGGGCCATTTCGCCCCAGAGGGTCATCTGGGACCATGAAGAGGTTTCCCACAAAGGTGAAGGGCAGCAGGCTGGATGCAGAAAGAGGGAGTCACAGGAACGGTCTCGCTGACATCACCCAGACCAAAACCACCCGGAGCTACTGGCTAGCGTCCTCAGGCATCTTCAAGCCCCTGCCCAGGATTCTCACCCAGTGGCCAGAGAAGAGCTGCTTTAGAGAAAGGTCTGAGTCGCTGCCCTATTCTCACCGCTCTCTGATGATGGCCATCCACTTGTCTGACTCCTCTGCCAGATCTCGGAACTGGTCATTGGAGACAATGATCCCATCGGTCTCTTCCGCCAGCTTCACCATGAACCTGTCTCGAGGAAACACAGAAACCATTCTGGGATTCCCCAAGGATCAATCCCACGGTATGCTATCAATGCCTGTGACCCAATTCTGGTGATGGAGGTCTGTCTCCAAACTCGTTTAAATGAAGGGTGAGGGAGGCTTCTTGGGAACTGAGGCCAGACCCTCATGCATCCTAGGCAAGTGCTTTACCACTGAGATTATAGGTAGGCTGGTAGGTAGACAGACAGACAGACTGACCGAGGCAATGGGGTCAGACAGGCAGGGCATGGTGGTGCACACCTTTAATCCCAGCACTCAGGAGGCAGAGACAGGCAAATCTCTTGAGTTCTAAGGCAGTCTGGTTTATATAATTTCATGACAGTGACATAGAGAGATTCTATTTCAAAAACAAACAAATCTTGCTAAGTTAGTCTAGCCTTGAATTCTCTCTGTAGCCCCAGCAGGCTTTGAACTCTAAATCTTCCTGACACAGTTCTGATTACAGTGTGTGCCTCCACATTCAGCCCCTCCCCTCACTTCACACAGGTGACTAACTGGGCGTAGGAACCAAGGTCAGAGAACAAACAGCTGTGAATCCAAGGTAGTGTCCCGAGGGCAGCCCATTCACCACACCCATCACTGAAGACTGAGTCTGAAACAGAGCTAGCGAGAACTTTCTCCCGCCCTACCACCAGTCATTCACAATCCCCCATTCCTCCATGCTGCCTTACTTTCCAGGGCCACAATCGCCTTAATAATCCAGACATTAAAACTGGGACTCATGCCAGCATTCCACCAGCTCACCTGCCTCACCTCACCATCCTCCATCCCTCAGTCTCACCTGCTCTTCCCCTACACAGAGCTCTTCCACACCTGCCCTTCATCCCAACCAGTCCAAGTGAGAGGCCTTGAGTAAGTCCACATGTCCAGGCTACACCTAAGGAACTTACTTTCTGGGAGCAGGCGGTATGGCTCGCTTGGTAGAGTGCTCACCTAGCTGCATGGGGCCCTACGTTCAACCTCCAGGACCACATAGACTGGGCATGGTAACACACACCAGTAATCTGGCATTCAGGAGAATCAGAAGTTCAAGGTCATCCTTGGTTACTCAGTAAGCATTGAGACCAACCTGGCTACAAGAGACCTTACCTCAAAAAATAAATAGAAAAATACAATTTTCAAGTTTTTTGTTCTTTATTAATAATTTACTTATTTTTATTTTATGTGCATTGTTGTTCTGCCTGTGTGAGGCTGTCAGATCTTGGGAGTTACAGACAGTTGTTAGCTGCCATCTGAATGGTGGGAATTGAACCCAGGTCCTCTGGAAGAGAAGTCAGCGCCCTTAATCACTGAGCCATCTCTCCAGCCCCTCAAGGTTTGTTTTTTTTTTTAAGATTTATTTTTTTTATATACATACAGATGCTTTATCTGCATGTATACCTGCAGACCAGAAGAGGGCATCAAATTGTGAGCTGCGGTGTGGTTGCTGGGAATTAAACTTAGGACTTCTGCAAGAGTAACCAGTGCTCTTAACTGCTGAGCCATCTCTCCAACCCCAAAATTATAAAGCTTTTTAAAGACACCTGAGGCCTACTTTAGTAATTTTGTTTTGTTTTATTTGTAAGATATGAACTCACATAGCCCAGGCCTGCCTCCAATTTACTGAACAGCTGAAGCTAACCTCAAGCTTCCTGCCTTTACCTCTACCTCCCAAGTGCTGGCATTAAAGGCAACTGCCATCATGGCCAGGTCCATCCACAGAGTGAGATTCACAAGGTGGTAGGCAGTGAACTAACTTTTGAGAGGTTTAAAACCAAAGAGATCAGTCCATCCCACATCCTTCTCAGTCAAAACTCCCAATCCTTCTTTCCTGGAAAATCCTAGTCACAACATGGCTCCCTTCCCTGGGCTCCTACAGTGCCTGATTTACGGTTTGTTTGTTTTT